TTAAACGAGAAGGGTGGGTTGAGGTTCTAATATTTTGCAGCAATTTATAATGGAAGAGGATTCGCTAACTAGAGAATAACCTGAGCACACATTTTATACTACGAGCTGCTGGTGGGTTTCTGAGCGCGACGAAACCTACAAGCTCAAATCTACAAATCTCAAGCGTTAATTTTGAAAAAATGTCCCAATGTCATTTCGAACATGACGTGTTGAACCGCTCTGAACAATGTTCTCAGAAAACTTCACACCTGTTTGACCCGAGTTGGAAGAATACGTTGAATTCCAAGTATTGTTCGGTGCAGTGCTGTAGCTGGGGCCAGGGATTGAAGAACACGCATTTGTCGAGTGTCCTGACGTCATGTCTTGACCATAGCTTGCCGAGCAAGGATACCCAGGTCCTTCATGTGACTGCCACGATGATGCACTTGTCATGTTATGAGCTTGGTCTCGCTCGGAATACGACGGAATTCTATCGCTAGCTTGATCGTTTGCCTAAAATGTTCACGGTAAAACACATTACCTATTAGCTTTAAATTGATTCTCTTCCTGAACTTCACATTTTTTTAGGGCAGAGTATTTATGTATCCAGTATCCAACACACCACAAATGTTCTTAGTTCCGCCAAAATTTTAGAAGCAAAGTCCGGCGTTACGAAGTAGAGGAAATATGAAATGGAACGCAAGCGCAAAGCATATACTAAAACGGTGGCAATACGTAACAAGGCTGAGGCGCCAATGCCTAATGCATGGCCCATACCATATGCCCAGCCCTCCACCATACACTTCGCCCCCAGATAAATGCTGCTTTCCCTCGCTGCTACTGAGGAGGGGCTTTATTCCCTCCTTACGGCTTCTTCCAATTTTTCCCATTACTGACGTTAAATATCCAATGCCCTTTACAAGCGCAATAACACATCAAATCGATTCCAGACTTTGCCTTTGAAATTTGGCGCAGAGCATACTATAGCACATATCGTACCATATCATTTCAAGACCGAACATGGCTATCAAAAATTGCTCGAAACAGTGCGATTTAAAAAAAATGTGAAAAGGACCCACTAATGGTTGACATTGCCCTTTCATTTTTGTAACAGCCTTAATGAGGCAAATTAATTTTGTGCAGCTTTTTTATGTCAAGAGGTTATCAATAGCACTGATCACGAATAAGATATTAATCTCTGGCGCAGACGCCACCCTTCGCCAATTTGGTGCAACAGATTGCCAATTGGTGTTTTTGCCAAACTCGATAAAAAACTTGCATACAGGAGATATTCAGCACTGAGATCACAAAAGGGACCTCATTGCCTATAGTCGTTCCAGATTCCAAACTTCACATTTCAGTTAATCAGTTGTGCATGGCTAAATAACTGAAGAAATGTGAAGTTTGGCACGGCACCCGGAAAGAGTGTGAAGTTTGGAACTTGGAAAAAGCCCATAAATCCGAGATTTCATAAGAACCGTGAATGATGCGCACAACTAAATGTCTGTTTTATTGGTAATTTTGATATGTTACTGGCTTTGTTGTGTTCGCTTTCACAAGCAATAATGAATCAGTAATCCTGTTACCCAGCGACTCACGATCTCTACTGCAGTAAAGCAGAACAACGGGAATTCGAGAAATGGAAAATCTACCTCCTTTTGTTGTGCTGTCCTCCTCCGCTCTTCACGCTTCCTTTCAAGTGTTTTTGCAAGAATATCGGGGTGATTCCATATCTGAACATTCAGCTATCATCAGTTTGGAAGTTGGAAGTAACAACGTAACAAAGTTAAAAGACTTTGCATTCACCTTTGAACAGGCAGCAAAAGCCTTTTAGAGGATTAAAAACAGAAAGTATGTTTTCAGAGTGCCATCTCCGAATTATGCGTACCATAACAAAATTCTGCATAAGCAGCTACGACTAACTTTTAGCCCTAAACATTCTATGACACTAGTGTTGACTTAAGCCTGCATACGGTACCTGCGCAGAGGACACCGGCGAGTACCTCGTGTTGCAAAGGACTCTTCCGAAGAAGGAGCACAAACTCCTTACTTTCTGGGAGAATAGCCTTGAGTAGGTGGTGAGTTCGTCTACAATATCACATTTTGGCAAATCAAATAATATAAGAGCACAACAACTATGCATAATTTCCGTATACACTCCTGAATGAAACCTTTTCAAATGGCTGTAAGAAGTGAATTCGTGAACGGCAATCTTAATGTCTTCCTGAAACACAGCAAAAAACGACTACTGTATCCAGGCGAAATACAAAGATAAGTATGGCAGAAACGTTTTTCAAAGCTGAACTGCATTTATAAAAAACACTATATATTAACACCAATGCTAAACGGCGTCTCGAGTTGGACAAATGACGTAATGAAGCTATCATCGACGTAAAACTAAGAAATTGCGTTTCATATGGAATGGACTCAAATCTTAAACGAAAAACAAACTGCTGTCGAGTCGATGCATGCCAGCTTTCTTATTGCTCTTCGAACTGCTATCGCGCGCGCCGATGAAACGTGTCTTCCTCGAACCCAAAAAATCCGGTCTTACAAAGTCCACCATACAGTAATACTCCATAAGATTATTTTGCAGTGGGTATCCTGTCAATACGATCCTCCGCCTAAACTTGTGCAAATACAATCGGTTTAATGTTAGACTTCTCATTCATGTTAGCGCAAACATACCTCGTCTTGATAGCTCCTAAAGCAGACGCGATGTCGGTATTGAGGTTCTTGATTTTGTGTCCTTCATCACACACAACTAGATCAGCTCCTGGGTCAATGAGGGCACCACGTATGACTATAAAAGCAACTATATGTTGACACTTTGATTCTATACGACGAACATCGAGCTTACTGTCATTGGCTTCCTTTTTCACTCGACCATCCGCTGTGAACCCCTGATCGAAATCGTCAGGTTTTATTGGTCGCTCGGGCTGAGGAGGCTGCAAATGTGTTCACTTCCGTGTAGCACACAAAGTGGAAGCAATTAAGCAAAAGAGGACGGATGAAGGCACAGTTGGAAGGAAATAAACTATGAAATGGTAGCTAGCGATAAACTGTAAGAAGTTTAATGACGAACGATGAAAAGAAGAAGCACATCACCATTATAACCTTAAACTTCCTATGCCATAGTGTAATAAAAACAAGCTTGAGCCACTATATGACTGAGGCGCCTTAAAAATTATTGAGGCGTTCTGATAATAATGTTCTCACGGCTCTACTTCGAAAAAAAAACATCCTAAGAATGCGTGAAAACTCCAAAAATTGAAAAAAAAACTGTTGATAAAAGTAGTAAATAACAATAAAACACAGCAACAAGGATAAGAAAGGACGTCCAAACCGCAACAAATAACTTACAAATAAGGAGTTGTTCTTCGGCTTCACCGGTTTCCTCGGTTGTGTAGACCGAATGAGTAGGCGAAACATTTCATAACCAATCAGTAATACGCCTCCTTTACGCGACCACTCTTCTGAAAACACCATTGACAATGAACCCTTTCCATCATTTATGTAGACGCTGGTTACAGTAATGAAGAATTTTTGCAACACTCAAAAACAATGCTCTAACCATACAGATACCATAATTTGTGTACTTTTTCAATGTCCTACTAGTGAAGGAACCTTAGCTCACCAATTAGATTCACGCGCTGATCGAATGTCTTCACAGAATCACCCAGAAGAAACACTTCAAACTGACGACAAAGCTCCCCCTTTTCCGAATATCTGGAAATGAAGGAAGTTGGCGTATTTTTCACAAGCTGGCTTAATAGCTCGAAAATTACCTTGGTATCCATTTCTCGAATTCGTTATACCAGTTTTGTATAGTATTAATGGGAACGATAACAAGAACTTTCTTGGCCTCAGTTACGCGTAAGAATACTTCAATGAAGGTTATAACCTGGAAATGAATCATCACCAAGTGGACAGAGGAACTAGAATCGCTCAGCAACAACATATAGTAACAAACTTCCGTAATTAGATCTATCCATCGGCTTTTAGACACGCACACGACGGATAAAATGAATTATGAAAAGAATTTTTCATCGCGAGTCATGTCATATTTATCATACGGTGACCATTAAGATCATCATCGCCACCGAATATGAAGCGCTACTGCGAGTATGTCTGCCACAAACCTAGGTACCGCTTGTGAAGGCCGAGTTAAGTTTGGATGGTTGGAGCATAGATGGGCGGCGCGTGCAATGAAGTGGGCGGTGCTGGAGGCAAAACTACTTCGGTTCGTGAACGGCCCGGAAACCGTTAAAAATGGCATAAGTTAAAGTGCGGATGGTAAGGAATATAAAAGGATCATCACAGTGATAGAGCGGTCCTTTTCGCACTCTTTTAATCAGAGGATGCTCAGAAACTTCGTGGTCCTCAAAACGTGTATTTCCAACAGTCATACATGCTGGCACGGTGAGCATGAGCAGTCTAGTTTGAGGCGAAAGACGCGCTCCCAAACGGCCAAACCGCACTGGTGATATGCTACTTACAAACAATTAGCTAACTGCTAGGACGTCCATGACAATCAGGGAGAGATAGCGAAATAAGGGACGCGGCGCTGAGAGAGAGAGAAGAGGGTGGAAAGGGAGTAGAGCAATAAGAGAGCTATCAAGGTCGCAACAAGTGGCAAATGTTCACGATTAAATTGAGATAAGGAGGGCAATTCGCAACATGAGGCTTCCCAAAAACTGGTTTGACGAATGAAAAAAGAGGTAGGAGGCTAGTCGGTTCAATCTTGAGGATTGCAAAACTACCGCGGCTTCATGGCGGGCAGAGCAAGCACTTTTTGTGCATATTCAAAGCGCTGAAGCCTCGAGCTTACGTGGCAGTCGAGATTGGAATTGAGGCAACTACACTTATCCGATGGATTATGTCCACGTGCCCTCGTCGGTACACACTTGCGCTCTGTGCCACTAGCCGGAGTGATTTATTTTTGAGGATGACTGAGAGTCCTGTACCAAGCTACCTGAATAGTTTTTCCTAGACCCATGCTGTGAGCCAGAATGCATCCAAATCCAGGTGATGACTTGAATTCACTCAGTGATTCCACGATGTTGTCATATCTGCAAACACGGTGGAACGTCCGAAAATTTGCAATATGTAGTGGATCAACTTACAAGAACCGAACTCCTCCTAATTGATGTGGGCTGAAGAATATGTGTAAGGTAAGGAGACACATGGACATCAGGTGGACTCTTCCGGGACCACTGTCCTTGAATAAAAGAAACTTTTGCACAGACACCTTCAAAACGCGCTCATCAAAATACATACCAGCGTTGACTAACAAACGCCCAGTCTGCGTGAGCTCGATCTTCTCCAACTCATGAGAATTTCTGCGCCTCCTCATCCGCTCCTTCTCCATTTTGTGTTGCTTTTCCATCTTTTCGTGATCAGCCTAAGTTCGAGCTTATGCGTTAGCAATAGGTCGGAATTCAATAATTTATTTGAAAAATACCCTGTCTTTATCCGAGTACATCCATCTTGAACGCTTTCCTGAAACAACTAGCATTCGGTGCTATGGCAAAATGAAATTTACGCGAAACTATACCATAGTCGAAACCGGACGGTAAAGGTGGCACAACCCGGTAAGGTCTGAAAGAACTGCTTTCTCGTCCATCGTACTTTTCATCTTCATCACCACTTGAAAGCTCGATTACCTGATAGAAGCAAGATGACTACTTATGAGACTTCATAAATACACAACCAATTGATGTTCTCGAAGAACTTGAATTCTGCGCCTCACTTATGTTATAACACAGTCAACATAGTCTTTCTTGAAATCCCTGTGAAGAAACTTCATATCGCATACGCACTTCGAGCGGAACAGAAATTCCGCACCGTGAGCCTCTACGCAATCCCCACCTGCTTCTACGTTTTGGCTATTTCCCTTGTTTGATTTTCATCACTTTTAAGTTGTTTTTTCTCAATTGAACCAACTATACTGGATGGACTAAGCCATGCCCACAAATAACAAAGTAGCTTGAAAGCGGAGAAATTGCGAGTATACTTGAAGTAAATGATGTACTAGACGTTTTTCTAATGCGAAAACTAAAGAGAGGCGACTTGGAATACCAACGTGCATTTGTTTCCCTCATCTTCCACCCAGTTCAAAGTCGGCAGCGCCAACACAGCGTGCAGCGAGCATAATCGTGAGCCTACGCTGCGACGCGCGGTATAGAACTTGCATCATCTGTACTTGAACTCATTTATGGCGCAAGTATTTAGGCAATTTATACGTCACAAAGTGTTAATCCTACCTCAGGTTCAGCCTTAGGGGCGTTCCTGCTTAGCGGTGGAATGTTTTTCTTTGAATCGAGTCCAAGGTCGGAGTCATCTCCAATCTGCAAAGGGTAGAAATCATTAAGCAAAATGAATTGAAGAACTATAGCAGTTCTAAGAACTACAACACTGTAGAAAACATAGGTTTTGCAAGAAATCTGTGCTTGGAGAACGGCAGAATCGCTTACCAAGGCGTAGACTTCAGGATCGAAAGGTTCAAGTACTGGCTGAGAGCAGATGATGATCACAGCTTCGGACATTCATACGCCGAGCCAATAATGAAATCGGTTGCTTATTTGTGGGTTTTTTTATTTGAAGATACGAAGCAAAACAGTACGCTAGAAACGGGAAATATCTTACTCTGCTCAGATATGACAATTTTCACCAGGAGGGGAGAATAGACCTACTAACCTGTCTATTCAGGTGAGCCTCCGGCCCTGTCTTTACTGCTATCGCTGATCGCTACCAACCGTTCCAACCGTCTCTTTCTCTTGTTCTCGTATCGTTCAGAAAGAGGCTGGGTTGGCCTACCAGCGTCCTCAATGGAATACGTCGCATGTTGTTCTGCAAACATCACGCCATCATTTGTTGACACTTTATGCTTTCGACCAGCAATGACAAAGGTAACCTCAAGACATACAAGAGAATCCCCCGTAGCATGTATAAATAAAGCCGCGGATTTTTTGTGTTTGTTGTGTGTGTGTGTGTGTGTGTGTGTGTGTGTGTGTGTGTGTGTGTGTGTGTGTGTGTGTGTGTGTGTGTGTGTGTGTGTGTGTGTGTGTGTGTGTGTGTGTGTGTGTGTGTGTGTGTGTGTGTGTGTGTGTGTGTCACGAAATTCATAGCTCGCTTCCCTGCAACGATAGAGGGCTGTATTTTGAATGATATAGGGGGTGGGTAGGGAACATACTAGGTGGGGGTCAGAAAGTGATAACGAATGATAAGATCTGATAAGAGGCGCTGAAACGCAAATTTCACGAAATTCATAGCGCGCGTCCCAGCAGCAGTGGGGCGTTGGTTCCAAGAAGTGATGTACAGGGTGGGACGGGAACACGTTCGGTGGGGTACAGGAAGTGATAAGGGCTGATAAGGTTGATAAGAGGCGCTGAAACGCAAATTTCACGAAATTCATAGCGCGCGTCCCAGCAGCAGTGGGGCGTTGGTTCCAAGAAGTGATGTACAGGGTGGGACGGGAACACGTTCGGTGGGGTACAGGAAGATAAGGGCGATAATCCCTATTCGGAACATAGAGACCATTTAGAACCATAATCTAGATAACGCATTTCACTTCAGTATCATCTCATTACGTTGTTGTCATCAACATAAAATACCTATCCACCGCTACAGTCCCAAAATTCCCTAAGAATGTATGATGGATGTTTAGCGATATACGATAATGTATTTCTATTGCAAAATCATATTCATCAATATTATTCGACCGCCAAATCATCCTGACATCCAATACATGGTGGTTGTTTACAGACACCACTTTAGCTCCGCAGTCCACCGCGCGTATCAGACGATTGGCTTGAAAATGGGCATTCTATGGAAGGCCACAGCAGATAGCGCATTCCACGAAGCACAATCTACTGCATTGCTCAGCGCGAAACATAACAACACGCTGGCTGGTAAGAGAAAAACAGAAACGCAGTAAATACTAAGGTTGAAGGGGTCATAGGAAAAGTTCATAATGCTGGATCTGTTGTGACATTTCTTCAAACAAGTTTTTAATCTTTTACGGCGCAATAAGGCTCGGGTGGGGGGGGGGGCACTCGTGAGAAGGGCATATTAGGACTAAGTTCCATGTGAAAACAGCGAGTCGACGAGCTCCGAAGAATACAAAAAATTTTCCTACACGAGCTCCTCTCCTCTCTTTAAAGCTTAGTTCTGAAAACGACGTTTCCGTGATATGTTGACGCGAGTTGGAGGGTCCGCCCAAGCCACAATTGCGTCTTCTATTTACATAAACACAATGAGTGTACCTTCCGGCATTCGTAGATGTGGTCAACGACATGATGTCATGATGATTATGGATGGCAATGATAACAAGTTTGCGTTTGTGAGCAATACAAAGTCAAAAATGCTGGCACGCCGGGCGTTTCTGAATAGAAATGATGTAGGGGGACTGCTGTCGCTACTATACTGTCACCCGAGAATCAGGAAAATCGGTTGAGCCGGGGCCCGGTGGTTGTGCAAAAAGTGAGCGGGAGTGTGGCCAAGAAATGGGGTGGGAATGGGGTGGGTAGTCACTTGACATGCGTAGGAAGCTGGAGCGTGGCTCACCCCATTTGGTATAGAGACCTATGTCTAAGATGCGCTGAAAGGCTCGCATTAGGCGCTTGGATCAACGGTGAAGGCTGAATACCGAGGAGATACAAAAATACAAAGATAACATACACTGGATATAGCTTCTTTTCTGGCTTTCTGTTTGCTCCAGTAGTGAAATCTTCACATGAAGCAACTCCAGTTGGGTGGTTCAGATAAGAGTTTTCACCCATCGCGGACATTGCCGCGTTCAGAGTTGGTGCTATTCACCCGGCCTCTAGCTTCGACTTCTGGAAAAAAAGGTGTTTATCAACATTACCGATCATATGATAGCACAATTTCAAAAGCCTCACCATCCATTTTCTCATCGCTAATGATCTGACTGCTGTTTTCTGTTGTTGACGAGATTCCACGATTTAAGCTGATTGATAACTTCAGAGATCCAAATCGCCTAGACGATGCCTCACCAAACAAGATGTATTAATACCATGGCACAAAGCACCAGTGCAAATCAAGTTATTATTTAAGTCTGCAGTTTCTCAAAAAAAAGAATAACAGAAGTTAATGAATGAATGCTACGCGGAACTTCAAATGACGCAAAAACAACGAGCGTTGCGTCCATTGGCGTGTTGTAGCGCGCAATACCCCACGGACCAAGGTGGTTGCGGCTTGCGCGGAGAGAACATCGAGCTCATGTCGTTAGGGGGTAGTAGGTTAAAAAAAGTGAGCCACATTTTACAGTATTTGGGTCTAACGGCCTCAAGGAAGGGAGGGCTAAATGGTTGAATGGAAGTAGTGAGCATTCTGGCATCGCAACCGGCGCTTGCTGATGTCCTGCTTCCTGTCCTGGCTTCACTTTCAGCTCCTTATATTGAGCTATCCAAATACTCCCAAAGCGGATGGGTAAACCACACACCGTTATGAAAAATCTTGAGTTTCTGAAGACATTCGTCTTCACCTTCGTTGAAAAGTCACTTTTCAGATGCCTACTTCACTTGGGGCCAGGGTCAGTCCTATTCGTTGTTACTTTTTCAAAAATTTTTACGACCCCCCTCTCCCGGTCCAAGGTTGGACTCAATACGACCCCCTTTTCGACACCTCGACCCACCATCATCGTCCCTATAGTATTTTAATTTACCACCACTCAACCACATACTCAGACAGGTAAGGTTTCGGCGCTTATTCACTCATGCAGACTGACGGCCTTCGAGGAAATGCTTGAGACATAGAGTCGATCCAAATGCCTTTCTCTGCGCATTCATTGGGGTTATCTGGCTGGATTTGAGGAAGTTCTTCCGTGTTCCTTGTCTGGTGAGAACTGAGTGGTTGAGTAAATTGGACGAGCGAGATGAAAATTGGCTGGCGGAAAATCCGAATATTGGAGAAAGACTTGGTGTTGTGTTTCGGGAACGGCTTTGAGCGAAGCGCCTATATATTGTCTTCTCTTCAAGTGCATTGCAGACTGCTTCATGATGTTCGAGGCAAACGTGCGCACGTTTCCGTGCTAAAGACAGCGCACCCCCATGAATCAAGTTGTTTCGTGGAAGCTTGATATGATGCTTACTGCTTTAAGAGAGCGCAAAGCAACGGGATCGAAATCGTTACCAGGAAGAACGGACCCGCTACAGTTATGGGGTTATCCCCGGAAACACGAGCACAGATTTCTAGAGCGCCCCGGGTCGGGCTAGGAATCGAAACCGGGACCGGCGCGGAAGTCTACTCAGCACTCCGGGATTTGTGCTACATGCCCACGTGGATCTCCACTCCTTGCAAACTCTACTACTTGGCCATGTGCAGACCCATCGGGGTTTGCGCTTTTGCCCTTAAATCCGCACTTGCAATATGCGTCAGCGAAGAAGATTCTTAGCTTGTGTGAACTAACAGATGGATTTCTAGTATTCTGTAACGGCCACTTGGCAACGATCGCGGTGTCAAATCATCGGCTGTCATCGGCGCAGACGAGGTGTTCACACGCCGGTATGTACCAGTTAGATTTTCGCTCTATTCATTGAGATAGCTGCTGATCATGTATAGTTGGAAACTCCAAGTGCAAAAAAAGTGCATCTGACGGTCGCCGCTGGCTGTTATGCTTAGGAATGCGTATGGGTTTCACATGGTCGAGGAGATACAGTTTGGAAAGACGAGTGGGAGAGTAAATGTTTCAACCGGAAAAATAGCTTCAGCACAACCGCGCTAACGACCGCAAGACTAAGTCAAAACGTGGTTCTCCGCGCAAAACGCGCGCCGTCCCGGGGAGAAATTCGGGTTCAAGTGTAGCGATAAGCGACATCGGCGCGAAAAAAAAAAACAATTTTCTTCTGATCGAAAGAGATTCTCTCGTTCTTTCCTTAAGGCGGGACAACGCGACGGCAACTGGACACGTCCTCTAATGAAACGAGGTAAAAAGCTTACCGAAATTCGTGGAATCTCTGACCAATTTCCACTACTCCTTACATCATGCAGCTCCCACGGCTTACAATTTTTCTTAGGGTAGAGGGGGGAGGTGGTTGGTTACGGGTTACATGTACTTTCACGGCGACGGAAGCAGGATACACCGCGATCTATAAACGCGGCACGGTACGGAGCCTCCACTGTCCCAAGTAGTTACACGATCAGATCGTCAACGTAGATTGACCTCTGCTTGGGACTGCTCCCGTCAGAGACGAAGAGAGCTCGAATCCAGCTTCAATCGAGTTCTCCGGTTTCGTATGCCTAGAGGTAGATAGAGGGAACAGGCAGATTAAAAGGCTCAAGCTTTTTCTACACACATAGTCTAGCTTCAATGGTTATATTTATTCCAACTGAGAAGGAATCCGGCATCAAAAATTCAAGTATTACAAAATACAGGATAAGAACTACATCTTTTACAAAGCGGCATCGCTTCCCAGAACGTGGTTACTGTAACGAACATTTACTTACGGATTAAGGATAGCAGGATAGTAAGATCAAAATATTCTTCCAGGCAAGGGCGATAACATTCAGGGCAGTAACCAGTAAGGATATGAATCGAGTACTTCTAGGGACAGAACCGTGAAAAATACTCGAAAGTCATAGCGCTATGTGAAACTGGGGTTGGAGTCATACCCTGAGAGAGTGCTCTTCTCGATCTGAAGGGTCTGTCGATGTTTCTGGTCATTTGGCTTTTAAATCTGTAGGTTATATCTTACCGCATTTATGGCTGCCAAGGGTTTTCTTTTTAGCTTTATTACAAACTCCTCAGAAGTTAATCGACCAGCCCCTAACGCTGGAAAACCAGTCCAGGGTTGGTCCATCTGTCTTCATCCATCTCAATTTCTTTTTTCTCCTCTCTCGGTCGTCACGCTCTCGTTTTTACACGCCTTCTCTTGTGCAACAGCCTCAGTATAGCGGATTATTTATATTAGCAATAAAAAAACTGTATTTCAGGGCGTTCCTCGAAGTTTTTTTTCTCGCATTCATTGTTGTTGCTCTTGTTTCCGGCAAGCCTTCGGGGTTTGCTCTCTGAAGGGTTCGAGGGTGAAACTCAAGTGGGGGAATTCACGATAGAAACGAAAGGTAAGAAACGGCGGAAAATTTGCATATTGTGAGGCAAACAGGCGACCGTGCCTTTGCTCGATTGCTGCTCTCGAGACCGTGTTGGATCATTTGTTAGAAGCGGGGGACGACTAATCTATCGGCGAGCATACAAGATTTACTTACCCTTACGATCACCAGCTCGGCATCACTTTGGAGCGCGTTGCGAGCGTACAGCCACCGACAGTTTAATCACTGCCGCACGGTTATACGGGCGAGGTGATTTAGATAGGGAGGATGAGAGGCGACAGCGATGAGAGTCACATTAGTGCAGAAAATTCAAAGAGGCAAAGACGAGGACCCAGTTTCTCGGTTTCGTAGCCCTGTTCGAATGGTTCCGGTTCCTCATTCTGTCTCCCAGTGAACACATCATACCCTTATTTCCAGTGAGCGTAACTCCCCAGCGTAAAAATTCGTCTTGAAGGACACCTGCTCGCGCGCCGCGACGGACACGTCACACGGTTGATGCTGAATGGAATGGATACTATAATTTTTTCGAAATTTGCATGGTTTCTTCTCAAATGAAATTTTATCTCCATGAACCAGACACTGGAGTTCTACAAGGAACTCATTGTGTAAGAAGCACGCGCCTAATCGCCATCTCGTCGCTATTACGTCAAATGACAAGTCGTATCAGCTCTTATCAGTGCGTATGTCGACTCCATATAAGGGAGCCCAATCCTTCCCATTGTTCCGATCCAGAATTTCTTTGTCGCTATTTGGCTTCATGTGAAGTCCGGAGCTTCTATGACCGCTTCCAGAGTGCGTCGAAAATTCGTAACAAAACACACCTCACCTCAACACGTTTTGAGTTTCCTTCTTGAAGAACTTCTCAATTTTTCGGGTTATGTTCTCAGAATTTACTACCCAGCATTTTTGTCATTGCGTCACCTTGTTTCACCGCCTTCTCCTTGACGGTTTCTATTGGGTATTTTTTGAGTCCTGCACTCCCATTTGTCAGAACCATCACTTCTGGGCTCGTCCATTCAGACATGACGATCTTCCGCATGATCTCTATGTGGGACAGTAGCCATTCTTATTTCGAAAGAATAGGTCCCAGGGCTGGAATGCATTCACCCAAAGACTAAAGGGGTTGTAAAGGAGCTTGAGACGAACAGAACTCAAATTTTGGCCAAGAGGGACAGAGTTTAAAGCAGAAACACAAACAATCAATGGGTTTTCACAAGAATGCTCAGCTATGGGAAAAACACTTATACTGTCAGAAATTGCGCCGGCATATACTTAACCATCCTGGGTTAAAGGTAGTGATCACCATAGCTGGAGGGTGTTGCGGTTTTGATGACGTCACCGAACGTGATTGGTGGAAGGGCACTTACCATTTGAGGCTTTCTCAACCACCCCATCACGCTGACCAGGGAGGTCTTCCAGGAAATGCCCAGCTTTCTCGAAACGGTTTTTTGCATGATATAGAGGGTACGTGCATGGAACACAGAACTGTGGTTCATTTTTCCTGAGCGACCCTCTGAATACCAAAAAGGAGCGAAGAAAAATTCTTAAGGAACTGCCGTTCTTAACTTTCTTCACCAGTTTTTTAGCCAAAGTCTACGTATAAAGGTTGCTGATGGTCCTAATTATAGATATGACATAAGTTGTTTACGCTGACGCTATTTTTCGCGAATTTTGAAACGCCAACACAAAATGCAAAAATTGTCACTGCGAGGATTCGAACCACGGACCACTTCATCACCCCTTTTTTGGTATTCAGAGGGCCGCTCAGGAAAAATGAACTACAGTTCTGTGTTCCATGCATGTACCCCTATATCATGCAAAAAACCGTTTTGAGAAAGCTTGGCATTTCCTGAAAGACCTTCCTCGTGAGGGGTTTAGTCCACCAATCACGCTTACAACGTCATTAAAAGCGCATCGCCCTCGAACAATCGCGTTCATGAATGTTGCCCTACTCCCACATCTGCCCTGCGCATGGCGAACTCCGGCTAACAGCAGTCAACAGGCGTAGCAGGCGTCCCCTTTCGCCACTGATCTGTGGCATTGTCTCAGCATGGCCTTATCGTTCTGCAATGAAATGCGTTATCGTGGGAGTGAACAAAGAACTCTACAACAGCATTTCCTTATCACCAAGCTTTTGGGTGGGAATAAATGCTGTCCACTACTTCTTGGCTTTGAGATTGAAGCAGCAAAATATAACTTGTCATGGTGCTAAACTACCCCAACGTAGCAAAGAATGTCAAACTTGGCCTGAATCAAACTCTTCAAGGTATTCCACCTAGGCTCCTTTAGGGATCGTAACAAGTTTGAGACTGTTCTGCTCAGTCAACTTATCGTATAGGTACCAGAAGCGCCTACTTCTTGTCAGTCCTACTACCTACATCTTCTTATTCACCCTCGTATCAAAAAATCTCAGCGCGGTTATCCAGGTTGTTCGATTCTAGCCCCGCCAACCAAGCATCTTTTCACGGTCAGATACTAAGAAAGGATCAATCGACGAGGAATGTCTTAGCCTCTTGTCTAGTAATCAGTTTACCGTACAAGTGATCAATAGCCCAACACGACTCCTATCTTATGCTTTACAAGAATAGCCCTAGTATTTAGAAAAAATGCAAGTTTTACCGTTTTTAGAGAGATTTTGGTTAGTCCCGCCCAGCCCCACCCATACGGTCGGACCCCTTTACCGTATCAACGTTTAACCATTCGTACACCCCTGAGGGCAACTTCCTACCCATCCGGGACCATGCCCCACCCATCCGGGTTCATGCCTCAACTGTTTTCTTCGGGTCTACGTAGCGTGCGAGCCTAGTGGTTACAAACAGACAGACAGACAAACACACCAAACTTCTGCTTTACATAGAGAGGAGGGAGCACATGCACGGAACACCGATTTATGATTTATGGCCCAGCCGTCTGTGCAGGAGAAGGGTCAAACAAGTCTAGGCGCTACACCTTTTTGAGACCGATTCCGGAGAAAACCTATGCATATGGGTTAGTTACATATGGTTGTTGTGGTAATAAGGCGTACATTGCTGGTCGCGGGTACCATTGGTACCACGACATCATGCAACTGCCGAACGAAAGTGCAGGGCTTTGTCACTACGCGGATCGAACCACGAACCAATCTTCTGTACTTTTCCGGCGTTCATAGGAAAGGGCCGCTCAGGAAAAAAAATTGATGCATAGTTCTATGTTCCATGTAAGCGTCTATGAAAAAGCAGGGCGGGGCATTTCTCAAAAGCCCTTCCTGGCTAAACAGCTCCACCATTACCTGAGGTTCTTACTCTTCTTAAGATGATCGAACTATTAATGTTACCGATGAAACCGATGAAAGATGACGGCAGTCCTTCACGGTCTGCGTTGTCTGCGTTCTCTCATTTGCATCTTATCTTGACTCCCCGACATCTGTTCCTTCCTCTGGGCCTGCAGTGTTTGTTCACCGGAGAATCGTACGTCGCTCGGGATGAATTGCAAAGGTTCTGTTTGGGGCATTTTAGCGGTTTCTTCTGCTTTGCTCTTCAGTGATAAGCCATGTAGAAGTTATTTTTTCGAAACAATTTGCCGCATTTATGCAGCTTTAGAGTGCGAGCTAATGGTTTCAAAGAAAATACTTTTTTGGAATGTGTTTTTGAAAGAAATTCGAATACGAATCTTTTTTGTCATGTCGTTACTTCAATATAGTAACATCATAGAAATTCAGATGAGAGGCCTTTCTGTTCTACTTGTTGCCATTTTCGCCACTGCCGTCGTCGGAATCAGCATTAACGCCAATGTCGTTTCTTCGGAATTGGCGTCGATTGAGTGTGATTTGTGCGAAATGGCAGTCAGAACAGTGGTACCAATGATGGATCAGGACACGAAAGATATAGAAAACGTAAGGTTCCCACAGTTTTTCTCAGGCTAACGATATCCGCATTCAAAATTGCAAATCTCTTTGGCATGCGGAGTTAAAGACAGCGATTACAACAGATTTGAGGAGGGTTTGAAGGAGACGTGATGGTACACAATGGCACGCAGTGGCGAAAATCACGAACAGGTAACAGCTCAGAAGTCGTACATATGAACGAGCTCATCGCATGCCAAACCACGCTCCAATCGAGTTGCTCCAGTTGTGCCGCTGCTGGCAACGCAGCTCGTCCAAATCACCAACTAAACTAGTGGGCGGATCGCTTTTGGGGGCGGAGTGCTTTCGAAGTCCTGCTCAGCAACCAGCGCACCTTTCGTCGTGAAAGCGCCACCTCGCTTCCTTGGCAGCCAAGTAACTGCTTCGTGTGGTGCATATGCTTCATTGATGCCCTTCCCTTATCGTAATCGCTGCATTTAAGTCAGATCAGCCTATTCCGACGCGTGAGAAGAAATACGAACCCTTGAGATTGCGTAAAAAGAATGATTCTAATTTCTTCAGCATCCTTTCCACTAAGGACCTCTTAACTCTGAAATTTCCCAAAAGCCTTGATATTACTCAGACCTTTGAATAATCTAGGTAGGCAGTGTAAGCGAGGATTTATAAGGCGTCTGACTTCGAGCATTTGAAGTCATTCAAGACAACAAAGCCACTAAACCTATGTCGGTGGAAGAAAGTCGCTGATCAATATCGAAGTAGCCTCACATATTATATTATTGAACATTCTATGTACGCTTCCGTGTGCATAGATCGACCATTCTCAACAGATCTCAAAGGTACAACACCTTTATAAGAAGTTGAACGGCATTTTCGTAGTTAATCGGAGCGATTACGATAAGTAGAGAACGCATCGGAATAAGCCACAGGTGGAAGAAGCTCGGCTGTCAGGGAAGCGAGGTGTTTCGCTTTCACGACAAAAGGTAAAGGTCTTGCTGTGCGGTACTCGAAATCGCCCCGTCCTAACCTAAAAGCTCTGAAGCATGGCTTCACATAGTGCCACCAACACGTTGCGATAAACTCGTCCATACGTCCGCCGTCTTTGGCGCTGCCCGCGCTGAGCGAAAATCACTGATCGAACAAGAGGTCCCGTTTTCCCGTTTTCTCGGAAAATTTCTTTGCTATTACTCACTGGTACACCACCGAGCACCCCCACGTTCCCTCTCAACCACTCCAAAGCTTATCGTGATCGCTGCCTTTAAGGTGAAGTGATCATCTTATGAGCGTGCATTTTACGGGAAAGTAACTCCATAGCCTACGACTATAGATTTGATTTGAGACCACGTTGCTCTGTCAAAACCCGACAAAATTCGCATATTATACAACGGTAACCAACAAGATACGGCAAAAGATACTGCCCTTTTTTTTACTAGTCTGAGGGGTTAAACTATGGATTTATGCTCGGTCTGGCCGGAGGGCGGAGTGAGTTTCGTGGTCGTTGAGCGTGGCTGGTGAAAAGGAGTTTGGAGGTGGTCCCGGCCACACTCTTCAGCGCATTGGTAGGCCTAGATCACCAAAGACGTCTAATGGCATCATCTTACCCCTCCATCCTTCCGGCCAACGTGTTCTGTGCCTTTACCCTTTAATGACACCTATAATTGCTATACGATCTCTAGAACGGTCCCTGGCCCGTAACTTGGTCCACATTCGTACTTTTGCATTCAGACGCATTTAGTGCACCTACAATTATTCACAGAAGTCGAAAAAGATTGTTCACCTCTATGCGATACACCTTTATTTTCCGTTTTTCATACCCTCCATTTTTGAAATTATTTATTTTCTTGTCTATTTGTATATTTTTTTATTCAATACGTTGTCTAAAGAAACTTTAGAAAGTAAACACAGCAAATAATTATTCATTGTTTTTGCTTATGTCCAAACATTGTATGCCAGTGGTTTCAACTGCTTAATTCCGCACAACAGTTCTCCATTTTCAGGCTGTAAACAAGGAGTGCAAGGAACTTCTGCACAAAATCCCCTTCGCCACTCAAAAATGCCAGAAATTCGTCGACGAAGATCTGAACAAAATCATCAAGGAACTCGAGTCTGGCACCGCTCCAAAAGACGTTTGCAAGAAGCTCGATATGTGTTAAATTCTTCTCGATCAGTTAGCACCAGCAGTGTTGTATGAATGAATTATTGTACTATTTGATGTTACCAACAACAATACAAAACTTTTATGGAGTACAAGCAGGGGTCAGGTTCTTAATCAAGGTATACTGGGGCTGAGATCACTGGTAAGATTGAACCCTATGAGATTCGCCTCACATTTAATATCTGTTCAGAATAACGGGCATTTTCTATTTTACCTGGTATGGGCCAAAATTTGCGGAACCCAGCTCTAGTCACATTCACTGCATTGTCTACACCCTCATTATCAAACAGACACAGATTGGAATAGGTTGACTGAGGCCGGAGTGTTCAATACCAAGTCAACACTTCTCAAACTCACAATGAGTTTTGAGACAATGGCTAGCCAGTGTTCATATTTGTGTTGATAGAAAGCAGACGCGATAAAGGGCTGATTATACGATGTTTTGATTGTAAATGAAAATTAGTAGTCTGCCTCGATCCATCCGGCGCTGGGCCGAGGGGAAGATTTTGCGCGCCAATGCGAACACGATGCTACCGCGCTCAATCTAGTAACGCTCGATGTAGTAGTACGAAGCAGTACGCAAACATACACAAATACCAAGGGTACAGTACATAATAAGTGTTTGGGGGGGGGTCGTATCGAGACTCGCTAAGAGGAGGGGGGTCGTAAATTTTCAAAATTGGTCCAACGTGACGGTTGACCCTGGTACCGTACCAGCTAATAGAACGATTCGCTGGCTACGACGCGACCAGACTACCTAAGCGCTCGATTCGTAGTCTGACATGGTCTGACGGTCCACTTTGCAACTTGTGTTTCATTTTTAAGCGGAATGACACACCACATCAATCACAAACTCAGCCTAGGCTTTGGACTACAGTAAATATTGGAGTACTACATATCAAGCTGTGCTGCGGTTGCGGATTTTAGCGGAAAGACATTAAAATTGTCGAAATTAACCAAAAAAAGCAATCCACCAAAAATGGCTAGTTTTTCGTTGTCACGTAAAATTGTTTGGGGGAAACGTAAGGCACTCGAAGCAGGGTCAACCGTCCGTTGGACAAAGTCCAACGCGACGACGAGAGTAATGCCGAGAGTGAACGTACGCACGGAGACACAGACGGCTCGCGGGTGGCGAGAGTGAATGCCGGCGCGGAGAGCGGTGAACATCGGTCCAACGTCGCTCCAATATCGGTCCAACGTAACGGTTGACCCTGCCGTAATGGGAAATGAGAAGTGTGGCGAGTCGAGGTCGCAGAGGGCTTCAGGGGTCATCGACAAAAGTTAGAACAAAGCTAATTCTTACCCTGGTATGGAAGGGCGTAATTTGTTATACGAGGGATATGATATATGGGGTCCTACCCCTGCCTTTATTACACCAGCTACCATTTATATTACCCCAGCTCTACTCTGAAAAATTTTTACTCAACGAAACGATCCTGCAGACTAAAAAAACATTCATGATAAGACAATGGATTCAATACAGCCCAAAAGATCAGATTAAGTACCAAACCTACAATACAAAATTACTTTTCACAATCATATCATTCACAAACAATGCACCAATAGCACAAGGGGATGCTTGGCTTGCCTAGTTGACTTTGATATTTATGGATAAACATCTTTATAAAATTATTACTTAAAAAAGGAAATCTAGGTGCTCTAAAATGATCTTCACAACCAGGAGAATTTGAAGATACCTATGTAAATTTAGAAAGCTCGACGAAATGACATTATTATATCACATGACATCGAAACACCTGTTCCCACACGAATACAATCAAAAACATGAGTAAAAGTAAAGGTAACAACTATCCCACCAAAACCCATGCAAATGCATGGTTATTTTGTAGATTTTTGGAAAACCCCGTAGCAACAAGGCAGTAACATTCAAGACAAAAACCAGATACTATTTATAATTTTACAAGCTAAAAGAGCAGTCAACCCCTAAACTCTCCAAAAATGGAAATGGCAAGGGAGACCGAATAGAGGTGGAAAATATGGGCGGGTCATTCAAAACAGAAAAGCGCTCATGCTGACAAAAATGGACAATTCAAAAAAAAACAAGTCATGCTATACAGAAGCGACACAATAAAACATCGCTTTCAATTAACAAGTAAGCACCGCGACCCTTGAAATTCGCGCACAAACAACTTAGAATCACGAAATCTCGACCCTGGGCCTCTTCGATGGAGCGGGCACTTCATCTCCGCCGTTTCCTTCGCGTCTTTTCACACACGTGGTTTCCCGACGGCAACGATTCCCCACTTTTCACAGCATGCACGTACTTTTTCACTTTGCTCCATGGGGATCTGCTTTGTCATCCAAAAATCTCTTCTTGGTAACATTCACGCACAACAGCTCTCATCACGTCCTTGTATTCTTCACGTGTGAGTCTCCTGCAATATTTCAATCTGTTACTGGATCTACCAACCCAAATCAGTAGTGGCTGAGTGCTAGTGCTATGCCAAAAGGCACATCCCACGAATGCCTAAGGATTGCTCTTCACCAGAAAATGGAAGAGTGAATCGGAGGGTTAACTGCAAGAGAACAAGAAAAAGAAAGCAGAGCAGCTATAGACCCAGCTGAGAAAGGAATACTTCAGGGGAAAATGAGATTGACGACGAGAGGTGAGCGGGAGGCCTAGGCGATGTCGTACAGACGAAAGAGCACAGAGACAAGGAGAGACGCAGGGCATCTCGAGCAGGACTCGTATCGGTGACCGAATACCAACCTCTTATAACACATTTGTCAATGCCTTACAAAGGGGTCTTTCAGGGCAAGCCGCGGTTTTTCAAAACGGTTTCTTGCATATTGCAGTGATCCTTGCAGAGAGGACAAAAAACAAATGGTCATTTAAGAAGTGATGTACACCGCTAGATGTGCCTTTTAACGATGATCTAATCAACTTTACAAATCTGCTAAACGATTTTTTTGAGAGCGAGTTATGAGTAAAACGCGCAACGGTAGCGGTCGCCGACCACAGTTCAAAAAGTGTAGATCACTCGATGCGCGTCACTTTTGCTTACTTCAGGAGTACAACTAGAAGCCTTTAAAAAACCTATTTAGTCTAATTCCTGATGAACGCAAGACAGTAAACGCAATCGGAGGCCGATTCCACTACATTTGACTGCAAGCTCATTTTAATGCCAACCAAAGCCCGTCGCGTAGCCTTCGTCAACTCCTTTTTTGTATTACTTTGAGGTCCTTCCTTTGCAATCCTTCAATGGTGGACAGAGTCTGTTCACTAGTTCTTCGAAAAGCCACCTTCCGTAACTTTATCAGGCTTCGCGTTGAACTCAAAATTCAGCTGCTTTTTTTCCTTCTTTATGAATAAAATTATTATTCTGAACAGCTTTTATCTTTCCAATACATATCACTTCTCGTAGCCGACGTAATCGTAAAATCGACTTCGTATAGCATACATTATACGAAGTTATACAGTCACGCGGTCGAACTTCCAGAGTTTCTAAATTCTCCTACATTAAGACAAGGATCAGCAAAGGAAACAGTTATTGCTGCACAGGAAAACTTAACCATCTTTCTACCAGCTTCCGACTTACGCCCTGATCAGAGCCTGTCGCAGGAACAGGAAGAACCGTTGAAGTTGCTTGCAAATTCGGCTGAAACAAACGACTGCACGCATCAAATCTATGTGAATTTCGAGTTTTAATATTGTTCGCCTGCGAGAAAACATAATCCCTCGAAAAGACAAAATTAAAGCGTAGACCATGTTGATGATAAAGCAATTCTTCAGTGTGTGGATTATAGTCATGAAAAGATGACATTAGCTGCGACCATTTCATGGGATCAATTTTATCTATTGTTCTGCTTTACTATTAGGTACCGGATATCTTAATGTCGTTTTTCTGAGTTCAGGATGTTTCGGGGCCAATTACCATGAAAAATCAGTTTCTCAGAACGTTCTCTTTGCTTATTAATACTACGTAACATGTTGCTTATTAGTCCCTATTGTTACTTTACAATTTATCTCTCCCCCAATTTTTATACCTTTTTCTGAAAATTCCTGGGTTCATTGCGCAAATTCGTATGTGTGTACCAAATGCCATCAAAGTCGGGCTGGCGAAGCTACCACATTTCCGCCAACCACTAACATTGCTTTTCGTGGGAAATGGAAGCTAGCGTTTGGAATGACTCAACGTTACTCCTCAGGCTTTACCTCAAAGGCAAGTGAAGTTTTTTGAAAGTGATCCGGACAATCGTGCGTTACAAAAGGATGGCCTCCAGTAAGCGAGCATGAGCAGAAGGGGCTGCAAACCAGACTTGTGAGACACTGAAAAATAGGCATAAGGATACTTTACAACTCTGATAGGGCAAAGGGATGCAATGACGGCAAAAAAGATTCCAAAAAATGGAATTTGATTGGCAAAGAAATGTTCTGAAATAAATGTGTTAACGTGACCTCCACGCAAGACGCTCAAAAACAAAGCGGTGGTTTTGACCCTACGTGATTGCGCGAAAAGAAAGCAAAAATCTACCATACGAAACTGCCACCGCTGACTAATAGGCTGAAATCATAAACCTTCCTCATAATTTTTCACAATGTCGTAGCGCAGGACCTAGCTAAAACCGCTGTTACGCTTACTTCGTTCAGGCCTTAGTTATTTAGCAAGTAACAGGCGAAATGATTTTATCAGAAGGATGCAAAACGACGCTGCGCAAATTACTTTTTTAACTACAGAAAAATATCCAGAGCTATGGATCGGCAAGGTTAGCAGACATCCTAAAACTGTTAGAGATGAGGAGATGTAGATAGATAATTATAATATAGAAATAATAAACTACTAAACTCCACCCGGTTTATGTGAAAACTAAAAACAATATTGCCTGGATCCAATGACTATTGAGAGTGAGAAAAACGACAAATTAAAGATATCCACAAGTTCAACCTGAACTAGATTTCTCATCCACATAAGTAATGAAAAGATTTCCATATCGACGGCAAGCATAAAAGTTAGAGAAGAGTCAAAAAAAGAAATGAATCAGCTCACCATCCAATCATTGTTCGCACTTCCTGATTGTTCTGAAATTAGGTAACCTTATCACACATTAATAAACAGCATTAAACTTAGAATGTTGGAAATTATCATAACAGTATCAACTTCCTTACCTAGAGCAGGTTTCTGTTCCAGCACGAGTTTTGCATCATGACCACGATCTTCTCTTTCGGATTCTTCGAACCTCAGCTTTCGCTCGGAGTTAACACTCACTGATGAGTCGCTGCTACGGGGCAAATGATTTGGATGATGCTTCCTATCCGTCAAATGTCGTCGTTTGTCACTTTCATCCCTTTTTACTTCACTAGCACTGCTCCGAATATCATTTCGACCATGATAGTGCCCACGATCGTACTGGTTACGTTTTTCGATACGTGAAGACTCTGATGTTCTTTCATCGGTGCTCTGATTATCAGAATTGAACCTTGAGCCAGACGGTGCACGACGCTCTTCATTTCGACTTCTGCCCAACACTCTGTCGCGATCGTCCTCACGATGTCGCACGTCAATCTTAGAGGTAGAGATCTTTTCTTGAGAATCCACTTTTTCAGGCGGACGTGGTCTTTGAGCCGACGATCTTTCTGCTTTGTCATGCGGCATATTCTGATGGCTATGATGAACGTGCCTGGCTGTCGTAAACGACCTCTGATCGGATGCATGCAAAGGGGGACGGTTTGCCACAGAGTGTGATGATTCCCCAGCATTTTTATGGCGCATAGCTCTGTCATGATCATTAGCTGGGTAGTGACCGTTGGCTGCAAATACCTTTTCATCAGATCTCTGCTTTCCAGGTTGTTCTGCCTTCTGAACATCCGAATGATGTCGCTCACCAGTCCTGCGATCGTGAACAACTCGGTCACGGTCATCTTCATATCGCCGGTAACTAGATGAAGGCCTTCCAGGTTGTTCTGCCTTCTGAACATCCGAATGATGTCGCTCACCAGTCCTGCGATCGTGAACAACTCGGTCACGGTCATCTTCATATCGCCGGTAACTAGATGAAGGCCTTCCAGGTTGTTCTGCCTTCTGAACATCCGAATGATGTCGCTCACCAGTCCTGCGATCGTGAACAACTCGGTCACGGTCATCTTCATACCGCCGGTAACTAGATGAAGGCCTCTCATCAATGACTCGCTTCATGTGTGGATCTGGCTTTTGACCAGGCAGCAAACCTTCTACCCGTTTACTATCACGCCCTAGACGACTGTCATCGTTGGTCCCGTTTTTACTGTTCTCTCGACATCGAATAGCATCCTTCGATTCAGGTTTTTTGAAAAGCGGTGGAAGCGCAGTATCGCCATCTCGTGCCGAATGATGTTCCTTCTTGCTAACGTCGCTGTTCACCTGAACAGTTCACATAATGATTGTAAAGTTATGGTGTATCGAAAAACTTGCCATAATACTGGAAAATACGGCCACCTGTAAAAGATGCAGAAGAACACCAACCTTGCTAGTTTCTTGAATCCCACTGCGCTTTGATGGTTCTTCCTCTGAAGCCGTCTTTTCAACCGGAATCTGAAAATAATTTGAAAAACAACAATAAGAGTAGGCTAGCTCAAGACACCAACTCCAAGTCTCTCTTTTAGCTCATTAGACATCTGATTGGTTGTTCTTGCTTTGTACTTCTCAAAGTCCTCAGTGGTATTGAAACGTCCACCCTGCAAAGTTCATTTGTTTTTAGGACTCATGTTCAAAGATATTCCAAACAGTGTTCACCCTGACGGCGAATAGTCTTCCTGGAGCAAGTGTTTTCGTTTGTTCTGGGATGATCGATCCAAGGAGGTCACTAAATATTCGTTAAAAAATGTATTAAAAGATGATAATTTGGAAGAAATAAGTTGTTATATTTTGGTTAATAATGTTACCAAGCATCGACGGCCACTTTCTTCTCCTCAGGTTTCGTCTTTAGTAATCG